CCTTGGGTCTTAACTTCTAACACTGTTTCTAGACTACTTTCTAGACTAATTTTTTTTTTTAGCATCACTATTTGATTAGGGATTTGCACTACATGGTAGAAACGTCACCGATAGATAGCATTCCAATAATTTTACTGAATGACTCAAAATAAAAATCACACTGCATGCTTGAATTACGTTTAAGAAAAGAAACAATCAAAAAAGTCGATTTTTTCCTTGACTAGCTCGACGCCCGTCATTTCGTGTACTCTTTATGTTTAGTAACATACCGAGAGCGTCTGTAGTATGAAAACTAAACATACAACTATAAGACATAAACCTCAGTGATAATCTAAAGGAATGTAAAATATTACTTCAATAAAAAATGTTCACGTCGACTTTCATTGTTTGTCAGCGAGTACACGGATAGCCCGAAACGTTTGCCTTTTGCTTGGTTCGTCTTAGCTGTATGGCTAGTCCGATACTTACTGACTCGTACCTCTAAAACTCGAGGATCCGGTATCAAAGCTCTTGACATTGATTTTACTTGGGTTCACGAGGATCCTGCCTTCAAGCAGGTTATTGGCCAGATGTCTTGGCAAGAATTTTACAAGGATAACAACTAATGTTCTCAAGGATCCTTTCTACCAGCTCATTGCTAAAACCTCTAGGTATTAATCTTACAAGAATACATTTCTCTACCTGGTCATCCGTACAAAAGCCAAATGAAATATCGGACTCAAGTAAAGAGGTTACCAGAGGCTAGGTAAGGGTATGCCCGACAAATGTGATCCTACGCATTCCTCGGACGTGATATCCCAGCCGTATATCACGTCCGAGTGGTAGGGCCACTTTTGTCGAGCTAGATAAAAGTAAGTTTCGGACTAGGCTACAACAGTATACTAAACTTCACCGGGTCAGTTATAACATGGTTGAAAAGTAATGCATCTAATGGTGATCCCTGCGGCACCCCGTTCACAACTCACTGATATCGCGACATTTCGCCACTAAAAGCCGATAGACCGATTAAAAAAACCTGAAAGGTTTTGCCATTTAATTTCATGTTTTCGTATGCTTTTTTGTCAGTTTATAAACCACGCTTCAATAGTAAAACAAGTTTTCTTAAATTAGTCGCTTTATCATCTGAATGAGTTCGAATTTTAACATGTTTCTTAAGTGAAAATAGCGTGTCATATCTTTGACTATTCACAGAAGCATACTTGATTAGGTGTAGTCTCTGAAAGGGATACCGAGTTGACAAACTTCAATACTAATTAGACGTTATTATCTATGCGAACTCTCTGAATGTAAGGCCCAGTTCACAAACCTAGATGAGTTGACCAATCCAAGAGTAGGCCTAAAGTAGCATCAAGATTCGACAAAGGTCAGCATTGCTTGCCGATTTGATTTTTCTTTTTATCCATGGACTGCTATAATTTAAAAGATGACACCTCTAACAACTCTCACTGATATCGATGATACATACATTTTTATAGGCTAACTACCCACAGGGCACGGGGTGGTGGCCCAATTATACTTAATGTACAGTCAACTGAAACGAATAAAAAGGTGAATCACACATTCTTATTAATCTTTTGGCAGCCTATTTAGATGTTATAATCGTGTACATGCGGTTTCTGGTGCTTAAATCGGAGTAGTGGTGGCTTTCTTGCTAACCTGAAGGTCCAGGGTTCAATCCCAGCATAGGTCGAGATAACAATTTCGGATTTTTCAACCCGGTTTCCCCCTGTCAGTGAAGCAGGTATGAGGACATGGAAAAAGCGTCCAGTCGTGAGACAATAAACCGAGGCCCCGTGTGCTACAGACTATACATGCTAAAGATCCCCCGACAGGTAGAAATCGAACAAAAGTATGTTATTGACGATGTCCTTCCAAAATTTTCCTCATTGCACACTGCATTGCGCAGCCCTCTTCATTAACCCAATTAGGTGCAGGAGAGTGGGGCGTTTCGTATCAACCCTTCAAAAGATACTTAAGTTCACTTGAAAATGACATGAATAAGCAAAACTATAAAAAATGTGTATGTGCGAATTATTCGTACCTTTATATAGAAGAGTCCTTTTATAAAACATATATAATATAGTTATTCAATTCACATTTATTCCATATAGTATTTTGATGACATAAAATCTGGATTAAAGGGGTGTGGTCGTCTTAATATTTACTTTACCAGCTGATAGAGCTCAATTTCAGCTATCTGTATAGTCGTCTAAATATTTACTTTACCAGCTGATAGAGCTCAATTTCAGTTATCTGTATAGTCGTCTAAATATTTACTTTACCAGCTGATAGATCTCAATTTCAGCTATCTGTTTTGTCATCTAAATATTTACTTTACCAGCTGATAGAGCTCAATTTCAGCTATCTGTATAGTCATCTAAATATTTACTTTACCAGCTGATAGAGCTCATATTCAGCTATCTTTATAGTTGTCTAAATATTTGCTTTACCAGCTGATAGAGCTCAATTTCAGCTATCTGTATAGTCGTCTTAATATTTACTTTACTAGCTGATAGAGCTCAATTTCGGGTAACTGTATAGTCATCTAAATATTTACTTTACCAGCTGATAGAGCTCAATTTCAGCTATATGTATAGTCATCTAAATATTTACTTTATCAGCTGATAGAGCTCAATTTCAGATTACTCGTCTAAGAATTCACTTTACCAGCTGATAAAACTCGGTTTCACAATGACATTTCAAGAAAAGGTTCATATACAATTAAATATATGGCTATAATTGGAGTAGTGACGCTAGATTTAGATTTTTAAACGTTATTAACTCTCTCTCTCGTGTAGATACCATCAATATCACGACGTCATAACATCGAATAATACTTGATGGTTCATTTATTTGCAGACGAACTATATGTCGGATTTAGATTCTGAAAAGTGATACAGGTATCTGAAAATGTGGTCTATCAGTTTGTGAAGTTAAGAATTAGACAACTATATACCTTTAACGATAATAAAGATAAGTGTAATAAAAGGTCTATATTAACTCGGTATGGTTGAATGTCCTAAATACTTATATAAGTATTCGTCAGTAATTGAAAAAATTGTCCTAAATACTTGTATAAAATTCCCTCCATATTCCAAACATGTGCATATAGTCACTAGCGTGTAGCCGTGCAATGTGCAACTTCATAAACATTCACTTTTTTGTATTCTTAAACACTTTATATCTTATGAAAAGATGAAAATTCAGTCTGCCTTAAACGACTTTCTTGGCACTAAATAACATGGAAAAGCGTCTTGAACTTTAATATCCACTGACTTCTGCAATTGCGAGGGTCTGCGACTGGAAAAGATCTCTACAAATAAGAAAACCCGAAATTCCAGACCAAATTGGGTGCAGAACAGTAGGACATTCACAAGTCCAATAAGATACAGGACATTAGGGCATATAAATTAGATTTCGATTCATTTATAAATTATAGTAAAACGTTTTTCTGACCTCAAGCTGGGGTAGAATTAATTTATGAAAGCTCATCAACCATCCATCACTCACTCAGCTGTCCTATATAGTCTATTACTCTAGGTTCTGGTAGTCCGAAACGTATATCTTAAAGGGATTGTAAAGAGGTTTTCTACAAATTGTACGTGTATAGGGGACATTGATAGCATCAATTCGCACCATTGCAATTTTCATTCAGACATTTGTGGTTCCTTGTAACTTGTATCAAGGATGTAACTATTTGATTGAACTGCACGCCGGAGAATTCAGCCAATCAGAGCCCTCGGTAGGTAGATTCAATCAAATCACTGCGTTTACAAATTTTCATGATTAAAAAAAGGTGAATATTACAGTCAAGGTATAAGTGCGAAGTGCGTAATAGCTTGACATTGTAAAGATGACCGAGCCTCTGGTAACTATTGTTGACATTTATGGGCAAGCCAGAAACTTGCTAACTCTTTTAACATATTCGGCAAGTTTCGGAATTAACTTTTCCAAAAGGAACTACCAGAAACCAGAAATTGAGTCCGCCAACCAGTGCCAAGAAACCAGATAAAGAGTCAACAGGTTTCGGACTACCCTCTAACAGTAACCACAAATAGAGGCCAGACATAGTGAGTTAGCTTCGGACGAAGATACATGACGAATGAAGTCAGTCTACATCTTGAATGATACTCTAGGTTGATTTGTATGTATGTCATATAGATGATTTTACTATGAATTATATCATTATGTATTAAAACTTTTCATAAACTCTGGACAAGGTCGAAATTCGAATTAATATTCGTCCGTCTTTGAGGTAACGCACAAAAATACTGAAGAAATATGGCTTTCGTTTATATGTAATACTTTTAACACAATTAGGTCAAAGGTCATCACGTGCCATTTAGAGCAAAACTCCTTTTATAACAAAATCCCTTATTCATTATCAATAATATTCGTATAATACTTTAGCACAAAAAGTTCACACACAAAAACACCTAGGAGCATAGCACACCCTCAATGCATAGCTTAATATTCATATACGTATACAAGGCGATATAACTGCGGGAACGACCCCTTTTCAGTCTACGCCCTTTATCACTGCATAACTTATATATTATAATACTTTCATAGTTCAAACATGCTCCAACTTTGCCGTTGAAACAAAACTCAGTTTTAATGATAATGCACATAGATAACACATGAATGTGCTAGCACATAGATAACACATTAATGTGCTAGCACATAGATAACACATGAATATAATAGCACATAGAATAACGTTCATTAACATATTATAATAGTCCTGGTACTGACTTAGTTTTTCACATGAATTGCTTCCAAAGCAAATAATTTAGTCCTTTCGTAACAGTCTAGTTTCTCCGTTCTAAAGCACATAACCTTGTCTGTTAGCACACAAATAAGTTAACACAATAAAAACACAATTAATATATAAAAATTCAAAATATAAAGCACTTGTGAATATAATTTTCAGTTTATCTTGGCCACTAAGAATTTGAGTATTTTGATTAACATTTTTGGATTTTTTTTTATCGTTTTCTATGAACTTTCAGATGTTTAGATAAATGGTCGGATCTAGAAAAACGTTTTTCACACAATTTACATTGGTAAGGCTTGATACCGGAATGCGACCTCTTATGTCTGGCTAACTCGTCGGACCGGGAGAACCGCCAACCGCATCCGGGCCACGTACACTCGAACGGTTTCTCTCCGGTATGTCGCCGTAGATGTGCCTTTAAGTGGGAACTTTTGCTATAAACCTTGGTACAGTCGTTGTAAGTACACTGGTAAACCTTCTCGTCCGGATTCTTCTCCTTTGATTTCACCGGAATCGGTTTCTCAATTCTGATTTTCACATCGTTATTATGAATGATGGTCGGAAGTAAAAGAGACTTGGCTTGGATATTCTGAATTCTGGCAGCATTCGTAACTGTAACCGTAGGCGTAGGATGGAACGTTTGATGACGGAAGAACGTGGATGGTGGTTGAGTTTGGACGGTTCGGACGGGTGTTTTGATTTCAACTGATGGCGTTGGTTTGCTGGCGTACGAGTGCATCAAATTCTGTAAGCCGACACCGAGCACTACTAAATCGTTATTGGAATTACTAAAATTAGAGGTGATGTTATTGCACATAAGTGGATTGTTAAGGCCATCACCGACACTAAAAGTCTGGAAGGATTCTATGGAGGGAAGGGTACTAGTTTGGGTCAGTAGACTATCGTTAGTAGAGACAGGTCGATTAACAGGTGCTCCCGAAAACTGGTAATCACTTTGGTTGGAATGATAACCCCCGTTCACACTTGTCACTGAGTTAAAATCCGAAGATTTGGTGTTCTGTATCGCGTCTTCCACAACTCCTTGCGAGAACAGATATTCCAGAAACAGTTCATCCTCCATTCCATCCAAACTCCAAATACTTGAAGGGCTGATGCTCCGCAGATCGTCATAACTCGCATCGCTTTCCTCACCGGACGAATTAAGACGCTGAAGCGTATACTGTTCCCGCTCCAAACTAGAGCTCAGTGGTATAAATTCGTCCATGCCGGATCAGAGTATATGTCAACTACCCCTATCGTCGCTTTCTCTCCTCTCTAATATATATCTACTCCGATACGTGAAGTCTATGTGAATAAACATAAATTAGATGTCTCGTTCCGTTCAGTGACAATCTCTACTAAATGATGTGGGATATACCTCATACAGACGGAAACCCCGTGTTATTTATAGGTCATTTTCGTTACGTGTCGACCGCCGTCTTGTATTCTGATTGGTTGAAGACTGTATACTATATAAGTAAGTATATATCAAGGAGACATAGTCATGTGACAATATATCAAGCGATATATAGTAATTATATGAGATATGGATACTATCCTATTAAACTATATCTATCAATTGTCATATGACTTGTTACTTATCTACTATTTAACAGTTCAAATTACAAAATAATCACAGATTATAGTTTCGACTTGGTACACGTCTCAAGTGGTTTCAAATTGACTTTGAATTAGGACTTTCTCACTTTAAGCCTATCGAATTGCGTATAATATGTTTCACAACTAAATAGATACGTATATATACATTGCTCGAATGTCATACCGTTCAAGGACCGATTTCACGTTAAGGAATACTACAAAAGGCCGATATCACTTTGTAGAATGCCATTCAAAGCCTGTGCCACGGTTTGAAATACCGTTCAAAGCCCCCGTCACTTTCGGAAATACCGTTCAAAGCCACTCTTTTGGGAATGCTGTTCAAAGCCACTGTCACTTTTAAAAATGTTGTTCAAAGCCACTGTCACTTTTAAGAATGCCGTTTAAAGCCACTAACTCCTCTGGGAATGTTCAAAGCCACTGTCACTTTTGGGAATGCCGTTCAAAGCCACTGTAACTTTTGAGAATGCTGTTCAAAGCCACTGTCACTTTTGGGAATGCCGTTGAAAGCCACTGTCACTTTTGGGAATGCCGTTCAAAGCCACTGTAACTTTTGAGAATGCTGTTCAAAGCCACTGTCACTTTTGGGAATGCTGTTCAAAGCCACTGTCACATTTGGGAATGCCGTTCAAAGCCTATAACAATTTCAGAAAATAATAATAAGCCGATGAATCTATTGAGAATGTCGTTTAACGCCTGTTTTCGCTTTCAAGAATTCCTTTCAAATCCGATATAAGTCGTTCATTTCACCTTTTCAATAACCCATACAATATCACTATAATATTCCAACTTTGAAATTGCTGTATATCAAAATATAAAATTGCAACGACGAACAAGCAAATGTACTAGAATATTGTAAAGTTATATGAACACACTTGCATTCTTTCCTTGTTAATCTAGCTCACTTAACGGTAAGATTTACAAATCATATAGCAATAAAAATCCAGGAAGCCAACTAACCTCATTTACATGAATGAAATGTATTAAAAGTCGATCAAGACTGGGCAAAGTTTTGGGCTGATTTACATCCGTGTGTAGTTATGTTGTTTGAAAAGTGACAATGCAAAAGTTTTATGGATTTGTTGACCTAAAATTCGAAACAAGATCAATTCGAACACATAAACGAAAATGAAATCCAGGAAAGCAGTGTTATTCTCCGAAATATGGTTGATTTCAACACAACAATATACAAGTTATTGAAAACGAAACGCAATAATAATATGTTGAGATGAGCTAAGGGGTGATAAACGTAATAAGTCACTGGAAATATTACGCTACCAATGATTAGGCTATATCATAGAAGAAGGTCCCGCTCAACAGGAGTTACTGTCCATTACAACAAAACACCGGTATCAAGGCAATTGCAGGAGTAGCCTTAGTGGTTCCAATTCCCAAAATATACAACGGTAGCAAACTGGAAATGTTTTCAATGCAACAAAATGCAACCCGGACAAATGCTGTTACACAAATAGCCTACGTAAACTGTCAGATCACAATGAGTGCAACATTGATAATGGGTAATGGTAATTTCGAAGACCAATTAGTATTCATGCTTATTTAAACATCATGGCGTGTTTCAATATGACTGAATGCTCTTTTTGGTAGCGTAATGTTCAATAAGAGACTACGCCTTGTTTATTTATATTTAGGCCTAATGGTCACGACAAAGTCACTCATTGATCGTAAAACCCAGTTGTCCTTGAAAGATATATGATGATTATGATTTTTTCAGTGTTTTTTTTGTACAAAAGTAATTTATCAATCGTCCAGCAGTGAAGATATCGCTACACGTTTGATGTTCGTAAATTGCAAATGGCCGCACTTCCTGTTATGTCGTCAAGTGACAATATGGCAATGTTATCAACTACATTCTAACACTGCAGGTTTTACTTTCAACACAGTTATAATCCGATTATCATAGACTTGCTAATATTATTATCTATAGATCGATGTGGCGAGAGTTGTTTTTCTTAATCTTTATGGTAAATACTCAAATATCGATAGGAATTCCTTTTAGTCGTGGTCGTTACTAGATTTGGTCTGCGTTGCTTTAATTCTTTAACATACTAGCAGCGACTATTGGTAATTACACTGATATTCAACTAGAAAGTTCGCCATTTTTCTGAAATTATAAACGATTACGGTGAATGAACGAATGAATGAATGAATGAATTGCCGGATATATTTTGTATTGAAAGGAAGGATGTCATACGATTCCCACAGAATGTGGTGTTCTGCAAGTATATACGTTTATAGGAATGGTGACAAGTGAAAATCAAAGAAGTATGAGTGTCCCAAAGTTTGTTGCTTGTGATCTGCGAGCCCCATATGAAAGTAGTAGAACAATCTTCCATGTTACTCAAGTACTTACGTCTATTTGAATGGCGACGAGTGACAATCGGGGAGTCTCAATAGGTGTTATGTTCCCAGCGATGTTCGCAAGTACGTGCGTATATATTCAAAGCTGACGTAAAATTGCTTCAATCATATATAAGATTTGAACGACATTTAGAAGTAGAGAGTAGATATAACAAAAAACACGTGTTGTTTTTGTTATATATTCAATCATAAAGTCTGCGAGCCGGTGTTTCCCATGTACGTCTATATGTCCGTGTATGTTTCGCAATTACTTACTTGAAACTCAAAGAGGTATTAGTGTCCCAAAACCAAATTCTAACGACTTTGGAGCTCAAAGTTTCGCCGATACGATGTATACGTCTACCATGTAAGACGGGATCGCCGTCAAATGATTCATTGACGGAAGTAATGATGCATGTTAAATATGACATGATGCTCATAGACTGGGAATATATTGATGTTTAGAGTAATAATGATCATATTAAATACAACATGAATGAATTCCTTAATTAACTTCAGGCTGTTGCACGAAATGTGGGCGTGACCTATTTTATTTCTGTATTCCGTTGGTAGGTATATTACGGTATTCAACTTGTACAAACTTTCAAACTTGCTATTATATTGGCTCTCCTAGATATTAGAGTCTGTACTATGTTGGTACCAAGGTATATTAAGGTTGGTGACTTTTACAAACTTACAAATTCAAAACTTATTGGCACGCATATATTACGTTTTTTAGGGTTTGCGACTTTTACAAACTCTCAACTGCATTAGTTCTTTCAGATTAAAATTTGCATTTTCTGTTGGTAGGATGTACGAAGATTTATTAAGGTTTGTGACATTTACAAACTAACAAACTATGGTATTGCAAAAGGTGGATTTACTGGAATGAAATCCAAAACGCCAACTCATTTTCGAAATTGATCAGTAGACAAATAAAAGAATTAAAAGTACAGCGATTGGCATTTCAATATTTATCAGTCATTTATCAGAGTCGTGATATGAAAACACACGTATTAATTCACACGTATATGATAACTGTTAACAAAATTTTCTTAGATTAGATATACATACATAGTATACTTATTATACTGTTCTTCGCGTATGGTAGATTCTAATGTGGAAGCGTCTTGTGCTACAGGCTCTTAAATTGCTGGGGCAATAAACCGTGAATCCATTGGAGGCTGTGTACGTTAGGGATCCCTTGAAAAATTGACAATTGAAAAACGATTAGGCCAATGTTACTGTAATAACCAAATTTCTCCCACTGCATACCGCATGGCATAAAGTTCCATTTCATGTGATTAACTATACGACTTTATGATAAAATTGACTTTCAGATAGAAAGTGACCCAGTTGGTCAAACGTCAACCTTTAACCCAATAAACAAATGAACCCGTCCTTTCATTTGAATTTCAGAAGAATATTTGTAATGAATATTTCATTTACCTGTTCAATTGAGGACGTCGACTCTCGTACGGAAACTTTCGGCTGTTTCCGTCA